TTTCTTTCTTTGGTTCGTTCTGTAAATATAAGTATATTGGTAATGATATATGTTGTATAAAGGTATGGGTTTTAACAGATTTCATTCATAAAGAAAAATTGGTAAATAAATAATGAAAACTGACACTTACGAAAGAAAATCCTAGTATAAGAAATTAGAAAAATAGACTATATATGCAATTGTCTAGGGAAATTGAGTTGGAATTGAACTAGGTTCGAAGAAATGTGTTAATATTATACACTAGAAATAAAAGTACATCGATTAAAAATAAATTCAAGAGCTGAAATGATAACCAATGGATAAAATCTATGGTCCTTCATCTCTCATTTGATACTAAAAATGTTTATCTTAGGAATTTCCTTTGTGCGTGTAACGTAAATAATCGGTAATTTCACTTGAACGTTGTCCATGAAGGCAGAAATACTCGTACTTGGTGCAGAAAAAAAGTGATAAATTTAAAATTTGCATACTCAGGGCATTTAAAGTGTAAATATGATGATATGAATGCAGTGAATTAGCAAAAAAATAACGAATTAAAATCGTATTAAGCTGTTCCAAAACTAATATGAAAGGATTTCTGTATGTGTACATGAATCAGTGAAAATGGTTCTAAAATTATAGACGAAAACTGAGAAACCATTCTAAAAATTCGGAGCCTATCAAGTTAGCTTAATAGCAATCGAGGTTCAAAACTGAACATTGGTAATACTGAAGGGCTTAAAAAACATATATTCAGATATAAATGATGTAAGAAAATACCAGAATATGCAAGAAATGTTAAAGTTTGAAAATGCGAATGAAGTTAATAATGAAGGAAAATAGTAGAATCAGTCATGGTAAAAGTACTACAGAATGATAAATTGTGGATTAAGCAAATTAAAACAATACTATAAAATATAGACTAAGTAAGGCTATTCGACGAATTGGGTTGGAATAACAGTTAAAGGTTCTAAAATAAAATGCTTAATTGGAAACTGTCTCTATATTTAAGACACTGAAACATCTACAATTTAGCTCAAATAGTAAAATCAAAAGCGTAATTACAATCGAAAATTATAAAGAAAGAGTTGAAAATTTAGAGTATTTTGGAAACTAGAAAAAAACAAGTGTTAGAAAGGTATAAAAAATACATCTAAAATTAATTAAAATTCATGTATATAGATAGGTAGGAAGATGCAATTAAACTACGTCAAAATTAGAGTACTTTAAAAATTACGAAGGTTTAAAATGTATGAACACGTTAAAAATATCATCTAAAATTAAATAAAGTTCATATATGTGGTAAGAAAATAGAGGAATTAAGCTAAAATTAAGGATATGTTTGAATTACGAAGGTTAAAAACGTAAGAAAGTAGTTAAAAATAAAATGAAAGTCATGTACATAGTGTGAAAATCTAGCAAATTAGTTAAAAATTGAGAGTATGTTTGAAACTAAAAACATTAAAAAGTAGAAAAGAAGTTGAAATTTACATCTAAAGTTAAATAAATAGTAGGTATATGATCTGAAAATATAGGAATTGTGTTAAAATTAAGACTATATTGGAAATTATGAAGGTTAAAATGAATGAAAACAATCAAATAACATTCATGTATGTAGTGTGAAAATATAAATTGGTTAAGAATTAGAGTACATTGGATATTATGAAGGTTAAAATGTATAAAACAAGCTAAAAATGTAACATCTAAAATAAAGTAAAGGTCATCTATATGATCAAAATGCATGAAATAAGTTAAAATACAGAGTATGTTGAAGATCGCTAACTTTAAAAAGAGCAAAAAAAGTTGCAAATTGCATCTAACATTGATAAAATAACACATAAAAAACGCGTGTTTTAATAATTACACTTGTAAAATATAACAGATAATTTAAAAGTATTGATTAAAAGGAATTCTGGGTAGAATAAATTTAATACTAAAAATGAGTAATGTAATTAAGCTTACGGAAGGTAAATCTGGTATTATGAACAGAAGATTTAGGAAATAAGGTAAAATTCTGAGTATATAGGGAAGTCTTAAAAAAATTTACATCTAAAATTAAGGCTTTCTGAATTAATCATTAAATTCGAAAATAATCGTCGTGAAAGGTACCTAGAAATTAACCATCATATACTTAGTAAAATAGCTGGAATACAAAGGAAAATATAAAGTCTAAACATGGATTAACAAAGAACCACCGGAAAATCAATAAAAGATCATCTCTTATCAAAGCGTGACGTCATCTTATCAGTTAAATGAAGAATCCCGAAACATTCCTACTTATCTGCTGCGCCTCCGCTTGCACCGCCTCTGAATTTTCACCGCGCACCGGCTCCTGTGGCTGAACTGTCCGTTTCCACTACTGACACGAATCAGGACTTCGAAGAGAAGGGCTAGCTCATAGAGCTTTTCCCCCTGAAGCAGAAAGTGAGAAGTGATGACGTAGTCATGATGACACTGAGCGCGCAGATGCAATTCACAGCTTGAAAATTAGCGATTTTGAACCAGCGTTTGAAATGAGCTGTGTGTGAAAGATAGCTATATTTTGGAAGAAACAATGATACTGCTTTATGCATTTTAGACTGAACCCTTAAAAAATTTAATAATACTTACTCAATTTTAAAATAATAGATAAAATGTGCTACTCTTAACATAAAGTTCCGTGGATTTTTTTAAATTCTTATTTGCAGGTTTTTATTTAATGAACGTTTATTTCTAATCATTTCTTTATCTGCATGTGAACTGAGAGAATTTTTATACTGCTTCTAAGATGACTATAATAGCAGCTATTTAAATTTACTCAAAAAACAATTTTACATTGACATAGTTTTAAACATATATGACATATATGGCAACATTTCTGCTAACCTACGTTTGATTTTTTGCCTAATTGTAAATTTTACATTGTTATAATTCTCTTCCGATTCAATATAATATTTTTTTAAAATAATTTTGTAATTTATACTTATATCTATATTACAATTAAATAAATGTATGTAAGATTGTTACCTTAATTTTGACAAAATAGCTTTACTCAGAGTACCTAAAACAGTTATTTAATTTTTCAAAAGTGTGAGTAAAGGAAGCAAGTCTTTTTATGCCAATTACTTTAATGTTTTATACTATTATATTTTATCTACAATGCTAATCCAGCACAAAATCGAATCAATCATTAGTTACAAAGGACACAATAAGAATAACTTTAACAAGTACTTAACAAAATTAGTTTGTTAAATACTTGTTATTCTTGTTGGTACTATTCATAGTACCGAAGATATTATCGATTAACTCATATAAGTCAGATGCTTTTTGATTTCCTGTGGGGTGGAGTATACCTTTTGCGGTACTTTTTGAAAATAATGTTTTCTCTGGAGCGACTTTTTGTCTCTTTAGTTTGTGACATAATTTGATTTCTTCTCAATCTCTATTTAAAACCTCTTTAATAATAACAAAATTTAAAAACAGTTCAAGCTTCTAAAAACAAATCCTTTATCTCAAAACGTGGTTTCCTCAGTAATTTGAGGCAGGCAGAGCGCGAAATGAGACCTCTGATTAAAACAAACTGCACATTTTGAAAAAGAACCAAGAACTTGGTCCAGTTTAGAGTCATAGCAGAGTTTTCAATCTATATGCATTTCGTCGTCGAAACTGAGAAACGCATATTTTTTCTACAGAATACAAATATTCGCCTCCTCTTTCCTTCTTTAGAGTAAGAACATCACTTTGAATTCTTGGAACTACACTAAAATTTAGCGCACCCATTTCTTTAATTTGCTAATACTAGGTAAAGATATTCCAGTTTTTTTTTCTTAATTTTTTTTTCTTTCCAAAAATCATAGCTTTAAGATGACAGAGGCTCTTATGACAATGCAACGTGAAATATTCTTCACTAGTCCACCTGGTTTTTTCCTTCTTTTTCAGTAATACATTAATCTGCGTCTTTATAAAAAATAGGCTTTAGACATTTTTTCAAAATTCTCCGATTTGTGCTTCCCCCCCCCAAAAAAAAAAAATTTCGCTATTTGAGATTTTAATTTCTGATACCAATTTCTGTCTAGATGTCGTCCACCTTCTTTGCGCTGCTGAACAAACATTCTAAAATTTTTCTTTTCTCTATTTTTCAATACTTTAATACAATTTTCTAAGGATATTATTTTATTCTTCAAATTATCAATGCATTCTTGTTTATCCTTAAACTTAGGGCATTCAGGAATATCTATATTTTCATTTGTGAGTTTTATTTCAAAATTATTAAAATTTGATTTACTATTGTCATCATCAATTTCAATTTATTATTGTCATCATAATTTACTTTCGGAACAGCATTCCATTTCAACAGTTTCTTTTTGTGGCTATCCAAACAAGCGATTTTTCATATCATCTTCATAAACACTGCATAGAAAATGTTTGTTGCAGATTTTTCCGCTCTTCGCATTAATAGAATCTTGTCTTTGACATTTGTGTATCCATTCTTTCGTCAAAAGCAAAACCTCATTTGGATCCTTTGGTCCCATGAAATAAAATATCTCATCCTTTCGTATTTTTGTAAGTGCTACGGCAAGTTACTACAGCGCAAAAAGCCATATTACGTAAATGGTACTTTACAAAATAGAATTTAAAATAAAAACTGACTAAAATTTAAATATATACATTATTAGAAAACAGATATATACTAAAATTAATTTGGGATATGTAACCTCTAGAAAATCGTCTCACAGCTGAATGAAACTACAGTTTTAAACGCGGGAAATCAGAACAGGTGGCATCACAGTGACGTCAGATTACTGCCTGTTAATTTTCCCCATTAGGCTCGCGTCGGCGAGGAGTCGAACAAAGAAATGAGCTAGCCCTTTCTTTTTATCCCTGGACACGAATATGCATCATAAAATGAATTTGAGTCTTTGGAGTTCTTTTGAAATGTCGTCGTCGTGCAGTGCGAAAACGTTCCTGAAACTCTTGGTTTTTGTACGAGAATCTCCCGAGTTTTCATATTTCAGAAATGGCAGCTATGATAACATTATCTACTTTTTCATATTGGGATGAATATTGAACATGAAGACTGTTCTCTGAACTGTTTTTTAGTTTCTGAGACGGCTAAAATTCTTTTTCATAATTATATTAATAAAATAAGAAAATGTAATAAATATTCTTACCCGGTAAACAACAAATCCGATTTGCATCATTTTTCGACCCGGGTGTTTCATGCATCTTCTTCGTACTTGCATGAGTGCGATGACAGCGCAACAGTATCTGGATCCTGCGCTCGCAATGGAATCTTTGCGTTGGTCTTTGCGAGTTTCTGAAATTAAAAAAAAAAAAAAAAAAAAAAAAAAAAAAAAAAAAAAAAGAAGTATAAATAAATATTTCGGAATTTATAAACTCTTACATGCACATGCACAATATCGCCAGATTTATATGACCATTATATATACAGGGTGTCCCGTAAATGTTGCGACAAACTTCTAACGGAGGTAGAGCACATCATAAGGATTAAGAATTGCGTAGGAGCCCCTGCTCAGAAACGCCACTGTACGCCGCCAGAGGGTGTTGTATAGAAGAGAGTGCAAGTAGAAAGCGAGGATTGCTTCGTTCGAGCGGTAGGCACCATACAAAGAGCATGGAACGCTATACGAACGGAGAGCTTATGAACATGTGATTCCAACATGATGGAGAGCCTGCTCATTTTGGACTGGATGTTCGTAGCCATTTGAACAGATCATTCCCGCATCGATGGATTGGGCGTTTTGGACCGGTTCCCTGGCCTTCACGCTCAGCGGATTTATTAAGCCTTGATATCTTTTTGTGCGCCAGCAAATATAATCGTGTATCACGATCCTGTTGTATCTGAAGTGGATCTCGTGACAAGACTCGCCTGCGCAGCTGCTACAATCAAAGAAACTCCCGGTGTGTTTGAACTCCAACGCTCCTGCCATGACTGCCGCCCCATCGTACGTTTGAGCAATCAGTTTATTCTCACACCCCCAACTCCAAATCGTTTCTTGCACAACATTACACAAAGCTTCCGCTGAACGATCACCACTAACATCTTTAAAAAACAAAACTCTTTGCACTGATGCACTACAATTATTAACTTCATTCGACACAAGTCAAGTTATTAATATATCGTAGCACAGCCGATAATTGCGGTTTGTGAGATATATCAGGTGTTTCATGCAGCATAATAGCAACGAATGGCGTTTCTTTTACCTCGTTTCTAATTTCTGAAATTACAATATTTTTTTATCGATGTAATAATATCATTTTGTATTCTATTAGAGTTCCAGAAAATACAGTTTCAGTTCTTAGATGGGTTGCTAAAAGGTCATCATATTTACTAATTAAAGTTATTAATTCTATATAATATCCTCGATTAAGGGAATTTATATTCTCATTGTATCCACGAAATGCATCTTCTTGTTTTGCTAACTAACAAACTACATCTATTAATCTCTTAAGAATATTTCTATTTCTTGTTACTTTTTCATTGTGTTGAACAATCGATGAAGCCTTTTGTTGATCTAACATTAAATCTATTCTGGCGGTACTAGATGTTTTTTATAGTATTACGGCATTTATGTGAGATTGTGTTTTTTCATATTTCTTTTCAGGTTCGTGGAGATGATTTAAATCACTGTAGCCTTGTTTTGTCCAAATATTCTTGTCCTTTTCAATTACAACAAAAAGTAAACATGGCCAACAGTACAACTTATTCAATTCACTACAACCGGTTAACCATTTAAATTTTTCATACATAGATTTTTGAAAATGTCGTACAGACTGCTGTCCTTTAATCTTAACGTTTTGCGGTAGACTAATATCCGGCATCGGTCTACTTAATTTAACTATTTCGTTTTTTGTAGTAACGTCTCGTCTCGAAAATGGATTTTCCAATAAATCTTTAATTAATTGAGACATCTGAGTTCTCCATTCTGAAATGGGTTATTTATTATGAATAACAGAATTAACAGAATAACAGAATTAGAATACAATAAATAAAATTTACTTACGAGTAGTTCGAGGTATAACCATAAAAACAGCTAAACTTATGAGAATTTTACTAGCACTGAAGAAAAAAATCATGTCTTGTGTTGTATGGTGTCCATATCGGCGGCGAAAAAGCTAACACTTCAGGCTTCCACGGAAAAACTTATATTTTCAGCAAAACATAGCACCACACGGCGCCTGCCGCTGCGGTGCCTCATTATCAGCCTGATGACATCAGGATGAGACATCAGAATGCTCATTGGTGCCGACAAACCGAACGTCTATTCCACGTGCAGAGGATTTCACTGCACGCTGGCACAATAGAACGAACTGTTTCTTGTTCGGTCAGTGGATTAGATTATAATTATTTATTAATTGTTTTTAACATTTGGAAATCATATATTCTGCGAAAAACATCTTGACAATTTTTAAAAACAAAACCAGGGATATGGTATTAGACAGATAATAACTTATATACTGTCTGTAAGACACAATGAATGATAAAATTTGGACTGTTCTGTTAAAATTCGTTTCTTTTTTGTCTAAGAAAACAAAACTGTTTTTCAGTGAATTATTTCTATAAATATAATACATCACCGAAATTACTTTACCACACTAAAACATTTCCCCTTATAGTCATGAAATACTTCTTTCTTTTATATTTCCATAAAAACAAAATCTTACAAAATATAAATTTAAATATTAACCGTCTGCAAAATCGTATGGCCAATTAATCAGCTAAAAAACCAAAAGCGCTTCAGCACGTAAGTCCCCGCTCTAATACAACGCTTAAAAAACAGTACCTTCGGATGGTTCTGAATGCCAAGTTCAGGAAAAATAGCTGCACTTGCCTCAGTGCTATAGTATGCTGTGCTTCTCCAAGTAGCCCACACATATAAAGCGTGATTTTCTATAAGTGCGCAGTGCGTACACATGAAAACTTCCTATGTTCGTTTGCTTTTGAACACGCTACGTGGTGCAGCACCTAGTACCGCACGCACTGCGGGAATACAAGCAAGCAAATCAACATAATATTTGAATATATTATAAATAATATTTATTATATACCATTTAAAGATAGGTGCAGAAAATTATTGTCTCTCATAATTTTGCCATGGTGTGCAGTGCACACCCTGCATATATGGACAGCACGCCACTGGTTAGAACAAGGAAATGTGGGAAGAAGAAGGGGTGCAGGTGCAGCCAGAGTGACGTCAGCACGCGTGGCCCCCGAACTAAAAAGGCTGTGGATGATGACTCTCCACACCCAGGATTTAGCGATTGGGTCCCCTAAAAACTCCAGTCGCCCTTTAAAATGGGCAGTATATAAGGTATTTCTTCCGCCTTCCTAGTGTGCCTTCGTGGTATAGTGGCTTTGCACGCTGGACCGGTATTCCAGAGGTCCGTGGTTTGATTCCCGACGAAGGCGATTGCTCGTTTTTCATCTCTCCGGCTCCAATTAACCTAATGTCTCTACAAAAAGTACTTGCAAGAAATTGCGAAAGGGTTTTTTTTTTTTTTTTTTTTTTTTTTACAATTTAATACAGCCAGAGGTATACAATAGGTAAACAACATTATTAAATTAAATAAACTTAATAATATAATATGGCAAGATATAATATAGGCGTATAAAGAAAAACATTTCTTAAATATACAATAGGTAAACAGAATTATTAAACTAAATCAACTTAATATTGTTGCGTGTGTACGGGTTCGTAATAGATTGAATGCACAAAGGCGTTGAAAAGTTAATAAAATTTATTCTTATCACAAGAATAAATAACAAAACGCAGGATTTTTCTCAGAGATATTCGTATAATATCACAATAGCACGTAATATAATCAGTAGCTATAATTTAAACTGCTAAAATTTTATAACAATCCAAAGCACAGAGAAAGCTAATTCGATCAAACTTTACAGCACCTAAGTAAACAACACCAGGTCACTGAAACAACTAAGCTGAGATGTTCTCCCTCTGGCTTTTATAGCTTTCTAAATCGACCCCACGAGAGAATTCTAGCAATTTCTGGAAAGTAAAAAGCGTAGAATTATGGTTACAGTTAACATTGTAGTCAATTACATTTAATCAAATTAAGGGGAGTCATCACCTTTATCAATTATGGAGATAAACTCTTTTTCGGTGCTATTTGACTACTGTGTACTAACTAATCGGACTGGACAACAACAACAACACTAGGTAAACTTTTATTAAATGTTAAACGCACGTGCCTCTTGTATTTTTACTTTTCCGGCGTAGCTTTCTTTTAAAATTCGTCCCGCGCTGCATTGCACGGGGAAATGAAACAATTTTAATTACAATTCCACTAAGAATAGTCAACTCAATACAAAATCCGTAACAATATAATACGTCAAGATATAATACAGTCATGTAAAGAAAAAATATATATTGACCGCGAAACGACCACGGCGAACAGAGTCATTTCCCATTGTGTTTTAACAATAAAAAACTGCAAGGGCTCTTTGACCAGGAGCACGTAGCCGGAAATTTCTTATAGTAATTAACGGAGGAGTTTCCATCTTACAGCTATAAAAGACTTTGTGAAGAAGAAGAAGTTAGACTGATTATACATTTTTAAAATTGCAACTTGTTAAAAGAAAAGTAGATCTAGATCATATTCAAGCAACAGATTTTTGAGCAGTAAATGAAAAGAGTGGCTGGCTTTTGTTAAAAAATAAAGCTATGCTGGTCTTCAGCAAGGTCCTTGTCATAACAAAGTCATTTAAATAAATAAATATTTTGTATAATTAATAAATTAATGAACACCTAGCTTTCAGAATGCTGAAGATGATTTTAATAGTCTCTTATATTTTAAAGATGTTTTGCGATTTTGGGCAGAACTCAGGAACCGATTAAAGTTATTCCTATAGAAGCACCTTATGCGAGGCACAACTACATAAAGAAGCAAGAGTGCAAATCTTACCATGTTCATATACGGACAATAAATATTGTGGGTTTCTGGCGAAAAGCTCGAGATTATTCCTAGAGCCGCCGCTTGTTTTCGGCACTTCCCATTTCCCTCGAATGGCCTTCACCTGAAATTTCAAGAAATTACAAAAAAATCTAATAAATAATGCAACAAGAGACTAATAAAAGACCAAGCAATCAGTTCGAGTCTCAATGCAGTAATTTTATTATTAAATTCCTACTTTTAGCTCACATTCTTCCTATATCTTATTCAAATTTTCATTTGTTAATAAAATATTTTTTATTCATCTACTCAAGTTCAAACACATCTTTTTAACTTGTTGGGGATGACACTTGATGTTAATACGGTTTTTTAGCATATTAAAATCTTTTTAAATTTTTCTTTGGTGATCTAAGTAGGAATTGACATTAGTTTTTTTATTTAATTAATTATTAATTCGTTTATTTTCAACCGTTAATAAAATATTTTTTATTCATCCACTCAAGTTCAAATACATTTTTTTAAACTTGTAGTGGATAACACTTGATGTTAATACAATTTTTTAACATATTAAAATTTTTAATTAATTTTTTTGTAATTAAAAAAAATTTCTTTGTTGATCTAAGTAGGGAATTGACTAAAATTTTATTTAATTAATAATAAATTAATGACACTTGATTTTAATACAGTTTTTTTCACATATTAAAAATGTTTTAAATTTTTAATTAAAAAAATTGTATTTTTAAAATCTTTCTTTGTTGACCTATGTAGGAATTATAAAATTCTTTTTTATATTACTTGTTCTTTCCGTTCTATTTAAAGCAGCAATTTAATAGGGCGAGCATATGAATAGATTATATTATAGTCCGATGAGGATTTAAAAAAAACAAGATTCTGCTTAAATACAGGATTAACTAGCATCAATTTAAGGAAACTATTTAGAAGTGTTTTATTTACATTATAATTTATATGAAATTTCCAGTATTGTTGAATGACTGATTGGTTACAAACTAGCTGAAGTCTCGCTAGTAATTCGTACGGAAATTCTGAAGTACTCGTTTAGACAGTCTGGCATATCCTTTATCTTATGATATTATTGTCAAACTTTTTTCTTGATTATTTTAAAAAGATGCTTTTGTGCACTGAAAAAAGTAATATATTTAAAATAATATTAATAAATTGTCACAAATAAGCAGAAACAGTTATACGGAAAGTTTCTGTTTCCTTCACTAAAACACTATATAAAAAATTTCCCAAATTGCGTATAGTAATTCTGCAAAAATATTTAACGAGTCAAACTTATAAGTAAACAAATTTTCTCATAATTATATTAATTCGTGTTTTCTTTAAAATCATTAATACTATGAGCACATAAATCTTCGTTCAGATATCCACTTCTTTAAAGGGGAGGGAGTGTCATTAATCCGTAGAATACGAATATTTATTATATATCCACTTTTATATTTTTTTTAATTTTCAGCGAATTTCATAAATGTATTTCTAGCTTTACTCTAAGTGGCTTCGATTGAATCTTCTTCTTTGCCATTCCCTGCATCATATTTTGCTATCTGCGGGTTAAACAGATTTTGAATTATAAGGTAATGAATTAATTTTTCCCCTACAGATTCATTCTTATTACTTTCAAACTAATATAATTTTCTAAAAGAGTGATTGATGGATTGTTCGAAGGAAAATTTTCAATTTTTATTAATAACTGGAGGGACTGGATTTTGGATCATCAAAATTTTCACCTTTTTCAATAGGAATTTTGCTTTACGTTATTTATTATAATTTTCTCAAAGTGTTTTATGTTTCAAGTTGTTTATGTTTTCAAGTAATAGCAGCCATGAAAATTTGCATTATTAGCTTAGAGTGAGTTCTTTAAGTTGTATGTTCTTGCTTACCCCTTTTCCTTTTTTTTTTTTTTTTTTTTTTCTTTAATGAATTTTTGGATGAAAGACGAGTTGAAGATGGCAAAAAGTCCCGAAGCAACTGCTGAGGCTTTTCAAATATTTCCAGTTAGGTTATTTAAATATGGCTTGGGTTGTTTAATTATGGCAAAGCTATCTTCAAAGAGCTTAGGTTATTTGAATATGACAAAACTATGAGCTTAAGAGAAGGAATGCCTTCATGGAGGACTTTCTAGGGTAAATTGATTTGTATTCCCGTTACATATGGGAAAAACTGCGAACGTCAACCGTGTAGCCTGGGATCGAACCCAAACAAAGTTGAGTTAGAGAATGTTAGAGAACAACAATGTTAGAGAAAAGAGTGCCTGTTTATCAAGTGTGCTGAACCACTGTGTGCCGAATTAACAAAGAATTTTACTGTCTTAGAGAGTACTTGTCGGTTTAGGCGCGATCAGCAAGTACTTGCTAATTTGGCAGCATTAATCATTAGATGATATAGAAACCAAACCCAAGTAAAATGTTTTAAGGTTTCATCCTCTTATCAGAAATGATTTGGATTTCCAGTTACACCTCTTGCTCATCCTAAGCAGACAGCTTGTAAAGCACATGTAAATTGCGAAAAAAAAATGAAAGGTTGCAGATTTTAAATTACGTCCAACAATGGGCGTTTTTTAACGTTTCGTGTGTTACCTTTATTTATTAAATATCATGTTTTTTGCACTAAAACCATGTAAGGATCTTAAGTTTTACTAACGTTTATTTTAAATCTTTACTATCACTTCTTATTTTCTACTTCCGGCCAGAATTATAAGCGTGAAGGTTTTTATGCAAAGGTTGTCTGGCGAACGCCAAGTATTTAAGTTGTGGCCTTTTGCCAAGCGAGAGAGAGGAAGCAGTGAGTCGAAAGCAGGCCGCTTACTTAGAAGTTACGCAGTTGCTGTTTGCCTTCCAGGCCAGAGGTTTTAATCCTCTTGATAAATTAAACGTATTGTAGTGTTCACAGTCTCTGTGCTACATACGCTTCCTGTTAATATAAGGCCAATCTTCCACGTGTATTATTCTAAAGTTAAATTAGAGTTTAGTTTTATTTTTATACTTTTACGTTAGACCCCAAGTGGCGGGTCAGTGTATTCCGAAGTACGGAAGTTATTGTATATAGAGAAAATAAAGGGTTTTGTATACCCTTCGTCTGTATCCTGTCTACTTACCACAATTAGTGAACATAGCTTTAGTAAGCTCTCTGTTCCGAGTCAGGTCCTTGTATGTTCTCGAAGAAGGTTAGAAGGAACATTGACCCTGATAGTGGCGCCCAACGAAGAAGAATAACCATGGCCGAGTTTCAAGAAGAACCTGTGCTGCCTGCAGAAACGGCTCAGAATCCGAAAAGGCCAGCTGCCGCCCTGGAAGGATTCGGTTACATCGTCCAGACCATGCGCGCTTCGATGAAACCAGAAGCAACGTTTAATGGAAACTCACATGTAACCAGTTTTTTGGAAAAATTGGATGACCACTTCATGCTCTACCCCGTGCACGAGTTTCAAAAAGTTACCTTAGCTACCAGCGCTTTGAGGGGCCAAGCGCTTAACTGGTTCAAATGTATAGGCAGAAGTCTCTTGGGTCAAGCAGGAAGTCCCACCTATACTTACGAAAATTTCAAGACTGCTCCTACTAAAAGCCTTCCCTGTTGTAAGGGATCGTGCGAAATTAGAAACGGAACTTTTCAGTATATATCAACAAAGAATCGAAAAACCTCTCGAGCTTTATTTTAAGAAAAATTCACGTTTTCAAGCTCTTGTATGGAAACCGTCCGGATCCTGAAATAATTCAAGTGATTTTGCCGAGGTTACTGCCCCAAGTGCAAGACTTTATTGAATTAAGAAATCCGACTACACTGGAAAAGTTATTTGAGCTAGCAATCCAGTTTGAAAGTAGAAGAACGGCGGACGGACGTCGAAAGAAGACGCCAATATCAACAGCGAAACCAATTTGGTACGCCAAGACTACAGCAAACTCAAGCATACGGCTACGGAGAAAAAGCGAATCAGTGGGCAAGGAAACCCGAGCATTCAAAAAACAGCCGGCGAACGTCGACAGTTCAATAGCAACCCAGGAAAAAATCTCAAGGCCAGGGGAAAAAGAAGGAAAGCACGGAAAGGAAAAATAATTTAAACTAAAACGGATGTTCTGCTGACGAGAGGGTGCGGAAATCCGAAGGCCACGAAAACCCCTCTTCCTACAAGTTAAATACAGTAATGGTGAAAAATTTGACTCTTCCGAAGATTGAAGTCTTGGTGAATAATATCCCAGCCACCGCACTCCTGGATACCGGCGCGCAGTGTTCCTGTGTGGCAGAAGAGTTTTTTTAGGAAGTATTTTCGCAAATACCGCATATATAATTGCGGATAATACGACATTATTAGCGGCGCAAGGAGAAAAATGTAAGTGCATAGGTAAAGTACCTTTGTATATCCGTATCAAGGACGAACAAGTAAAGGTGATGTTTTTTATAGTAAAGAATCTGCAAGCACATTTAATCTTAGGAATAGATTTTCTTTCAGACGCACAAGCTACACTGGATTTTAATGAAGCGTTCCTTAAGTTGACAATGAAACCAGTGCGTGTAGAAAAGGCTGAACCGCCAAGGTTAAATCTTGACAACCTGCCTAATGACGAGCAAGATAGAATCCGACAAGTGGTAAGTGAATTTGCTTCGTTATTTAGTGATATTCCAGGATTTACTCAGGTTACTAACCATAGTATTGACACCGGAGATGAAATTCCAGTTCGTCAAAAACCATACCGGTATGATAAGAATAAGGAAAAAATTATAGAATGGCATATTACCGATATGCTACGTAAAAAGATCATAACGCCCATCTCAAGTAGTTATGCTAGCCCGGTGGTTTTATGTAAGAAAAATAATGACTATCCTTTGGAGCATCCAAAAAGGTGGAGATTCGCTATTGATTACCGTAAATTAAATTCCATAACGAAAATATCCGGTATATCCGTTACCGATCATAGAAGAAATTTTAAGGAACATAAAATCAACCAAATTTATGACGACTTTAGACTTAACGACTGGTTATTTTCAAATAGGGATGAGGCCTGAGGACGTGCCTAAGACTGCTTTTATAACCAAGTCTGGCACTTATGCATTTTTGCGTATGCCGTTTGGCCTTTCAGGGGCCCCGGCAACATTTCAGCGATGCATAGA